CACTCTCTCTCTTTCTCTCTCTCTCTCTCTCTCTCTCTCTCTCTCTGTATGTGTGTGTGTGTGTGTGTGTGTGTGTGCGTGCGTCTGTCCTTCTGTATGTCCGTTGTTCTAATGTTGATTGTGAAGTTCGATTCATGGATAATGTCCTTTGGTAAACTACGAGTTAACCACAACAGTCTTGGGCCTAGAATCTAGGTGGTCAGAATTGTATAAGAACGTATTGACAGCAGTACATACCTGCATCATGTCTTGGTACGCTGCAGTCGTCCAAGAGTTAAGTCCAGATTAAGTTCTAAGTCCCACACAGCTTTCCATTGTTCCAGTGAAATAGTGAGAGTGTTTATCTAGAACAGCATAGTAAGTCATTTTGTTTAAAAACAACGGTTCTTCGCCAGGAGTCGCAGTGCACAACTATTTACTGCAATGCTTGTCTAGTCGAAGAACACAGATTTCATAAGGATGGGTATAGATTAGTTGTTATTGTCTGTGTTTTTGGTGTTATTAAACGGGCATTTTCGGTGGCATTATTTCTTAAATCAACGCATCGCTAATATAGGTTTAAAATAGTTCGGTATTAAAGAAATAACTTATTTTTTCATATTCCAGTCCCAGTCTTGTCTGGACTTTTAGTTTCTATGCAGCTGACATTATAGTAGTAGTCATTTCTAATCCCGAATGGTATGGATGGTTTCTCTCCTTTTATTGTTTCTAGAGCGTTCTTAAGCCCTAATCCGAGGGTCGGAAGGAGCAATCTAATCGTTTTTATGGAATTATATTGAAGTATTTCGAGCTACTCCTGTTAAAATGAAAGCTGTGCAAAGACGTTTTAATTCAGCATTTGAGAGATTACCAATAGAATTAAGTTTATAAACTCTCTTTTAAACGATGTTGCAAAGTCAAGTTATTGACACTGGCTTCGTATTCCACTTAAAGTTTTCATTCAGGGACGAGATTCCTGATCGTCCTGTTTTACTTAGTTGTTGAAGAGATCTGTGGTCTCTGTAACACATTTGGTGGGATGTGGCTCTTTTATTGAAAAAAGCTTCATTCGTGAATCTGAATAGGGCACTTGTCCGTCTTTTGTAGAACTTCGAAGTACTGAACGATGATAAGACCGAAAGTGTCGGCATGGTATAGACATTTCTTATATGAATGCCTGTTAGAAATTTTGTGTGGTTTTTCTAAGATATCAGGACTTCAGTTTGCGCAAACAAAGGCACCTCGAAAAGATAACGACCATCTAGAGCAGGGCAAGAGTCAGATAGAAACAAAGGGAAAGAAAAAATATGACCTGCTAGTGCCCTACACTCCCCCTCCACCCAACACACACACACACACACACACACACACACACACACACACACACACACACACACACACACACACACACGCATACACGCATACACGCACACATACACACACACACACACACACACACATGAAAAAAGCTCCCACCAAGATTAGGAGATTGATTCACAGGGGAACAAGACAGGGCTTTGATTAATACAGTTGGGGACACAGAACAGCTGACAGACTAAGTGGACACAGAACAGCTGACAGACGAAGTGGCAGAAAAGGAAAAAAGAAAGAAATGAATAAAACAAAATAAAATTTAAAAAACCCAAAATTAATCAAATGAAATAAAACAAACGGACTCCAAGCATGGAAACAAGAAGACATATTTTCAGCAGGTTTTCGTGTGCGCGTTGACTCTATTCTTCTTCTTATTTTTTTTCTTAAAAATGTTTCCACTGTTGACTTGATATGTACTGTACGTGGGTGTTATTGCAAAAGTTAAGGCCAAAGTATGAGATTTTAGAATTTTTTTTCTTTTAATTTCGTTTAGGGAGGAGGGGTGGGGGCAGCCAGTGACAACCACGTGCTATGCAGCTGTGGAGTTGTGCTACTTGCAATCATCCTAGCCTTATAGACAACTTGACTAATGGGCAAACGAATGCTGAACGAAACGGCATTAGCTTCAGAAAGAGCAATTTCTTTTTTAAACTGATCTTTTTCCAAAAATAAATAGATGTAAAATTGCGATGACTTAATCTGACCTCATGCATTATACTGTTATTATATACATATCCTAACCATTGCACACATTCTAGCGACGAGTTAACTTCCTCTCTCTCTTTAAATCCATCACTTCACGTGGACAATAATAATATAAATTATAGCACAAGGTCCCTTTGAAATTTATGAAGAGCACAAGAACACCCGGTATAGCACACAAGAATCTCATTCACTCCTTTGGAGAACTATCAACAATATACCACTTCGCCCCGTGTCTACGGGTGTTCCCTCCTACTGGGTTTGTGTTAGTCCTCGACTGCTGCGACAAGGGCGCGAGCCACGATATCAGTGTGCCAGCCTTGAACAAACCCCACCGGTCACCTCATAGGAAATCTGTTTCTGATAATCGCTCTATTGACTCTGGTATTGATCGAAACACGTCTTTTGCTGGCCCTTCGGTATCGGCGCTCGTAGCCGTCTTCCCAATACCTATTATTAATATCGCACCGGTCGCTGGTGGCGCGCCCTTGTGTGATTTAAACGAATCAATGATTGACTAGTGAGGCGTGTAGGGTTCAGAGCTTTACGTGAGGGTGGGACGGCCAGAAAGAAACAAGCCGAACGTATCAAATTCTTTCACAAATCCGCTGCTTTGAGAGCTAAGACTATACCATGATTGTGTGGAAGGAGCATAACAATGAAAGGGGTTGGTTAGTTTAACAAAACAACAAGAATACACGCGTGTTGAGCGGTGGTTCTATGTTTGCTCTGTTCTATACAAGTATTGTGTAGCCTACCTGTTGAATCTACCACAATTTGCTACGTTGAAGTGGGATGAGAAGAACTACATGTATATTATAGGTTTGAGACAGACACAGAGGCGTCGTCAGGTCAATTGGTAAGACACTGTACTTAAGGTGCAACTGAGGTTTGAATGCCTGTAGTTTCGTTTCAGAATGGTAACTTACAATTCTCTCTCTCTCTCACTCTCTCTCTCTCTCTCTCTCTCTCTCTCTCTCTCTCTCTCTCTCTCTCTCTTTCTCTTTCTCTCTCTCTCAAACACACACTCACGCTCGCGGGTACGCATGCACAAACACACCCCCGCACACATACACACAAATACACACACATTCACACACACTTTCTCTGTTTCACTTTTTCTCTCTTTTTCTGTTTTTCTCTCTCTTGCAGGTCCTCCCTCCTCTGTCACATACGTGCACACAAGCACACGTATAAGCACACACACACACACACACACACACACACACACACACACACACACACACACATACACAGACACACACACACACACGCATGCACGCACGCATACACACACACACAAGCACACACACACTTATAAGCTTATAAGCCTACATACAAACATACATATACATACATACAAACATTCACACATACATACATATACATACATACATACATACATACATACATACATACATACATACATACATACATACATACATACATACATACATACATACATACATACATACATACATACATACATACATACATACATACATACATGCATACATGCATACATGCATACATGCATACATACATACATACATACATACATACATACATACATACATACATACATACATACATACATACATACATACATACATACATACATACATACATACATACATACATACATACATACATACATACATACATACATACATACATACATACATACATAAAGAAGTCCCATGTGTACATATAAATATTGATTGATATAAGAAAGTCAAGTGAAATCAAACACCCTTAACAAAAGCAAACACAACTTTTCCCAGTTCCTTTTAGGGGGCCAAGTGCAAACCTTTGTAAATGCTTATTCACGCTTATTCGAGCAAGAACTGACGTTGCCTCTCATAGGAGCGTTGCTTCATCATAATATCATTAGTCTAGATTCTTGCCTGTAACTCGGCAGGAGATCGATACACCTTTATGGCCACGCCATTGCGATGATTTGAATAGGTGAATTCATCCTTTCTAAACGGTGGTGCCTTAACCAATCTAGGTCGAAATTACAATTATGTGCTGTATTTCCTGAATAGGAAAAGCCTAAAAACTTGGAGGTCCATTTGCCATGTATCCAGAGTGGAGGCTCGACCGAAACGGATATAATAAAAACGTTTCTAATAATGACCGAATAAAGTTGAGATTTTGCCGATGACATTGATGTTATTAATGCTTTAACCTTTCTCTTCCATTTTTTGCTCTCATCCTATTTCCTTCGCGTACTTACTCGAACATAGATAGTCAGATGGATATCGCGTCTTTCTGCGTAGTATGTGTAAATATATAAATGAATGAATAAATGAAATAAGGCTGCTATGTAAAGTTTATAATACACATGTATACATATATATATATATATATATATATATATATATATATATATATATATATATATATATATATATATATATATATATATATATATGATATGGTATGATATGTGTGTCTATGTATGTATGTATGTATGCATGTATGTATGTATGTATGTATGTATGTATGTATGTATGTATGTATGTATGTATGTATGTATGTATGTATGTATGTATGTATGTATGTATGTATGTATGTATGTATGTATGTATGTATGTATGTATGTATGTGTGTGTGTGTGTGTGTGTGTGTGTGTGGTGTGTGTGTGTGTGTGTGTGTGTGCGTGCGCGCGCGCGTGTACCTTTAGGTGCATTTGTGTACATCGAAGAACTTAAAGTAAACGATAACAACTGAATGATAGTGTGTCATTTGTCAACATGACTAAATGATACCCCTGTAGCTGCAGACTTAGCCTGAAAAGGTTACGGCCTTGTGAACAAGACACTTTGGGAACATACGTCTACTTATTTCTCCTGACACGTACTTGAATTCATTTTTTTCTTTTAGAAGACTGTTTGCTTTTCAACCCGTAATATCAAACTTTTCCTACGCCCTGAATGCAATTTTCAGTATAAAATATACTCGTATACAGATTGCTTGCGCAGAAAACAAACAGATTTTGTCTCCATGTCGCGTCGGTCAATCCCTGACATCGGCCGACCCAGGCGACAGCGGTGTGAACCAGGTACGACCTGCTAATCTGGCTAGTGCGCCTCTCGGCACGAGGTCTGCGAGCCACGGCTCTGTGAACTGGCAGTAAGCTGGGAACCGCTGGTCTGGGATCTCTTCCCGCCGCCAAATTAACGAACAAAAGTAACTGGCTTTGCCTAACTTTACGCCAGGTTGAGGGCAACTAAACGTACATGTTTGTTTTCTGTAGCGGCGTCTGTTTTATCGTGGTTAGGAGCTTCGCTGTCTCAGGCAGTCGCCAGAGTTTGATTCCTTTTTTTTTTTTTTGGGGGGGGGGTTATTGAGCTTCTAGATCTGTC